GGTGAAGAGTGGGTCACTGCGGTCTTCGGCCTGGACTGCTGTGCTCTCCGGCTCAGTAGCCGAAGTGATGCGTGGGGCAGACGAAGCTGCCGTGCATAAGTAGACGGTACTAGGTCTGCTGGCTGACAGCAAAACGCTGAGCTGGAATGAGGTTGAACGTAGCGAGATGTTTGAGATGGGTGCTTTGTATTAGGTTCTGAGCAAGCTTTTATGAAGTTTTGTTTGGTTTTTTTTTTTTTTTGAAGTGCTGGTTGTCTGCTTATCCCATCCAAATGAGTTCAACTGTGGGAAGTCAGCGTGCTGACTGTTGAGGTTATGTAGTTGGGACTGAACCTGAGATGGCCACGTCCGAGCACTTACCCACAGTATCTGAAAACACCACAACAATGTAATCATATGGCCCTTGTCACTATATATCTGTAGTATGTTTAGCTTGTCAAAAACCCTAGCTAAGATGGGAAAAGAACAGTAGGCACAGTTTTAGGCAGAGGCAAGATCAGGTGTGAGCAGCACAGACTCACATAACAGAGAGATGTAGTTATGGGTGGCAGTTACAGCAAAAAACTGATAGGGCTGTTGTTGGCCTTGCCACTGACTTTGGGGAATTCTAGCAGCTGTAATTTAATGTTTCCTGCTATAAAATGGACAGTGTCCTTTGCGGCGATTTTAGTGTCTTCAGTGGTTGCATAAAAGTGACACAAAAGAACAGATTTCTTATTCATGTAGTTTATTACAATTGAAAAAATGGTGATTATTTGATTTCCTTATAATGTGGGGCTTGCTGCACATTCTGGGCAGCCAGTTCAAAGGAAGAGCCTTCTGATTACTTGCAGGTGATCTTCCCAAGGGGCAAAATATGGCTCCTTACTCTTGTGTAACTACTGCATTCTTGCAAATCATATCCATTTTTTTCAGTGAGAGATCATGTCGCAGTCATTAACTTGTTTCATAAGGGTTTCTGTCTTTACAAAAAACTGTACTTGTCTTCTAAGCTTTGTGGAGTAAAGGACACCAATTTTCCTACTTTCAGTAACATGTATTGTTCTAAACAACATATTAAGGGATTCTTATTAAAATGGGAAGCTTTGCTGTTACCTTTTGTGGCAGAAGGAGTAGCGCTGGAGGAGTGATTACAGCTTGCTGGTGAAGTCTTCCCATTAGAGCTCAACCACATTGCTATAAGGCTTAAGATCCTAAAGGTTAATGTTTGTCTCTTCCCCGGAGTTGGTTTATGCGGATGATGTGGAATTCTGTGGAATACATTTACGTGGTATTTAAGTTTTTGTTTGGAGGGGTCAGTGCTGGGGTGAATAAAGGAGAAAACTGAACTCACAGGCACATGTAGACCTGTGCCTCTTCTATAATGCTAGCTATGTACGGATTTTTTTACTGTCACAGCTGTATTTCTGCATGCTTGAGGAAGGAGGCTTTGAGAACGTTGCAGCAAGCAAGCTGAGGTGGGAATCTGACCCTTCCCTTAGTGTAATACCTTACATATATAGCATGTGACTAGCTAGGGTTGTTTTGTGGGTTTTTTTTTTTCTTCCTGTGCAAGGTACAGATAGGCAAACAATGAAAAAGCTAAAGCTGTGGCCAAAACATAGCACAGCTTACAGCTTTTGATTGTTAAACCAGATTGTTAAAAGTTTCGAGACTGACTAACAGCCATCGCCTTAAAAAAGAATCTCTTCTGTTTTGAGTGCATGCATCTCAAGGGGCTGTTGGTAATCACATTTTCAGAATGCGTTTTTCTTCCTTCTTCTGAAAAACAGAATCTTTCTTACAACAGTAATAATTAACACCCAGTGGTAACTTAGCCATGTCATTGCTCATTGTAAAAATATGTGGTGTATAAGTGCTATGGCAAAAACACAGAAGGTTATGTTTGTCTGTTAGCTGTGGGAGTGCCCCTTAATGTCACTGGGGTTTTTTCCTTCCTTACCATATAAGGAAAGAAGTCCTGCTCCGCAGAAGAATAACTTGGGCCGTATAAGGCTGGTTGGTAAACCCTTATTGAGCTACTGGAGCAGGAAGTAAAAACTTGAACTTTAGTCACCCTGTGTTTTCTAAGCATATTGTATGCTCTTATCATGATGAGGAGTCTTGACATGATAATAATTAACTTGTAACATTACAGATTTCCCAAGTGCAACATTTGTGAAAGGTTGTTTTCTTTCTCAAATCAGAATGTTCACATTCTTATTGATTAAAGCCAGAAGTCTGAAAATACAGGTTTGGAGTACTACTGCTTGATTACATAGCTAAAGATTTTATATTTCAGTTAATGTGGATCTCTAAGGATGTGGTCTTTTCTACTCCTGGTTCTACATGTTTGCTGCCAACACTCGCTAATGTTCAAATATATATTTGCTTCCCTGTTTATGCGTTACTTCAAATCATTCTAGTGGGGCAATGTTACTGTTATGTCAAAGGTTGTTTTACTTGTCTGGTGTGTAAGTTATTCCTGTTTGTGTTATGTAAGACAAAATTTTAGCTGTGGCCAACTGTATCCAGCTGCCTCTGGTCAGTTTTTACTGACAACAGATAAGTTCCTTAAATTTTTAACTAAAGAAAAAGTATCAAACTGATACTTTTGGTGTCTACTTTTGATAGAGGGCTGGTTTCCCTCCCCCAGCTAGACATCTTAGGAAAATCAGATGTGTACTTCCTCATATATAGCAAGATTGTTTTCAGTACTAATTAAGAGTAACACTTATTCTTGGAAGTTATTAACTTTTTAGAATAATGACCTTTTTATATCTATTTTGTGCTTTATATCCTTTTGAAAGAAATAGAAGTTTAATAATGAGGTTACTACGAGAAGGCTGTTACAGAACTTACCCTGCAACTTAAGCAAGTGTAGGTTTGAGAATGTCAGAAGTAAAAGCTTGTAATGATAAGAGGCAGATGAGTTGCAAGTGGTGCACAGAAGATTAAGTAAACAGGTAATGCAAGAGAGGCAAATCTGGGGGAAGATTGAGGATGGCAGTATGAGGAAAAAAAAAAATGATGTCAGGTAACTTTTGCCTGTACCAGGGCCCTTCCAAGATGTAGCCTCTGCTGTTGCCTTCTTTGTCAGCTCTTGCATAGCTTGCCTGCAAACAACACTTGTGGGTATTTGGGCATTTCTTAAATGTTCTCATGCTCCCTTTGTGTCAGCTGTCTCATTGCATATGCTGATATAGGTGTATTTTTGCATCTTTACGCTGAACCCTTCTTATGGAACTCAGGGAAATACTGGGACAATTCTTACCAAAATGTGGCAAAAGGTCAGAAATAAAGGATTTGGGATAACATAGAAGAATTGGGTAATTAGTTTGTGTTGATTTGCTGAAAAAAAGGGGAGGGGGAAGACTATAATTGGTTAATGTCTGCAAATACAATAACAGAAAATATTTAGGGAACGATGCATAATTCTTCCAGTGCAGTTCTTTCTAGTACAAATTGTACAGTCCTTGATGTGCTTCATTAAAAGGAAGCATTAATCACTTTTTCCTCCATTAAGCAATAACTTCACAATTCAGTGAGGGCATGTACATCTCTGTGTACAGGCTTTTTAGCGGATGAAGTCAGACATTACTGAAGTGCTGTAAAATGGCACTAGCAGGTTTGTGGGATAATTTTTTACAAGACGTGGTGTGTGCCTTATTATGAGTTAATTTCTGTTCTTCCTGTGCTTAGGCTGAGAGTGAAGTAGCTTCTCTGAACAGACGCATCCAGCTGGTTGAGGAAGAGTTGGATCGGGCTCAGGAGCGCTTGGCTACTGCTCTGCAGAAGCTGGAGGAGGCCGAGAAGGCTGCAGATGAGAGTGAAAGGTGGGTGGGGCCACTCTTGAATGGATTGTTCCCCCTATGACAAAGATGATAATTGCCAGGGTGTGGGTTAGGGAAATAAATGAAACCACTCCTGTGTCTCTGAACATGTGTAATCCACTCTTCCTTTGCCTACATGGACTACAGCTTGTCCGTAGGGATGTCCAAAAAGTGTACCTTGAATTCTTGTTCATGTCTCAGTTGTAAAGATAAGATTTAAGTGGCATAGGACTTTTGATGTATCATGCCACTTCCTGGGAAAACTGCTTGGCCCAGCCCAGACTTCTCTATTTGGATGACAACTTTCTGAGGGTGATGTGTATTCTTGTGCTGTCGGGTGATTCTTGATTTCATTGTGGGTGCAAAATCTCATCTGGAGAATAGCAAAGTGCTGGAAGAGGCTTTGGTTCTCCTTTTGGCGAGATTGGTACGTGAAGGTGAGCAAAGGAGGGAGAACATGATAATTCCTTCAGATTTAGGCTGGGATTTCCAGAAGTACTTAGTATAAGTTAGGAACTCAAGATTTGTGGCTTTGGAAGATCTCCTCTTCTACTTCTACAAATTGTATTTGATATCTGTGATAGTACCTTTTATTGGGAAAGAATCCTATGTATTCTGCATATGTATTTCTGCTTTGTTGAAAAGCAAAGCACCTGAGACTCACAGTGCATTGTGAAATAGTTAAGAGAATTTGGGTCAAACATGCATGGAAGGGGCAATACGCAATGTTTCCTGTTATGAAGGCGTTTAATTTTGTTTATGCAGAGGACAGAGAGCTGCTGTGCTCTAGGGCTCTGACATGGCAAAACTCATGGGAATCTGTTTGGCCTATAAACATAATGCCTGTCAGTCCTGCAGGGCTTGTAACATGCTGTTTCACGATGAGTGTAAAAGCACAGATGTCTTTAGTCATCTTACTAGTTTTTTAGAAGCAAGACCCTTTATTTACCTTTCTAGAAGATCAGTTTTCCTTCAATTAAAAATGAAAAAGAATAGTACAGCTGAACTGTGGTAAGAGCTAAACAAATTATGTTTTCTTTCTTCCTAAGACATGCTTCTTCCCTTTGAACTTCTGAAGTGTGAATGCACAGGACTAGATCCATGGTGTGAAGAATCAAGTATCTGACGTGCTTTGTTCACCTTAATACATCTGTCTGAAAGTTGCACTCTAGTAGTAGTAGAGCTGGACATAAACTGGCAGGCCCTGAACCTTGCATTTCCTGTTTTTCACGTCTTTCAGAGGAATGAAGGTCATTGAAAATAGAGCCCAGAAGGATGAAGAGAAGATGGAAATCCAAGAGATCCAGCTTAAAGAAGCTAAGCACATTGCTGAAGAGGCTGACCGCAAGTATGAAGAGGTCAGTTCTTGAGTGCAGGTCATCTGTTTTTAAAGCCCTTTAGGCTGTGTCTATAATTCTGTCTTTTTTTTTCCCTTTGCCTTTTAAGTTCAAAAGATCACAAACACCACTCTTTGCAGATGTGGAATTAAAAATGGGCACCCCGATACCTCAGGGGACAAGGTGGCAGGAGATCTGTGCTCAGATCTTTTCATTAAAATGGTTGAGAGTATTCCCTGGTGTCTTAGGGAGAAAAATATTTTCAAGCTGCCTTTTGGTGAATGAAAGAGAGGTCTTGAAAAATGTCGGATAACAAAGATTCAAATGAATAATGAAGATGTCACATAATCAAAACTCAATGTGTTGACCAAAAAAAATGGAAAGAGGCCTAACTCCCTGCTTTGTAGGTTGTAGAAAGAGGTGACGTGTGCTGCAGCAACATAATATCCCTGATTGCCATTTGCCTTCTCTCACAGGTGGCTCGTAAGCTTGTGATCATTGAGAGTGACCTGGAGCGGGCTGAGGAACGTGCTGAACTATCAGAAAGGTAAGTGCTGAGCTGCCGTGAGATGTGTGTGAGGTGCTACAAGACAACTGTAACAGCATGAAACATTGGCAGTACACTCTGTGTTCAGCTCAAAGCTATGTTTTGCTCATTTACTCTAATGGTTGAAATAAATGGTCAACGCCAAAGTAAATGTGTTCATATGTGTGTGCGCGTGTGTTTTGTCACTGCATGCTGTACCTGCACACTGATTTTGTGAATGGCTTTTGTGCATTTCATGTGTTCACTAACAGCCAAGTCCGACAGCTGGAAGAACAGTTAAGAATAATGGATCAAACCTTGAAAGCATTAATGGCTGCAGAGGATAAGGTACTGATACTAATAAACAGTTTTTAGGTTTAACTGCAACCCAAGTCTTTCAGCTTCCGTAGCCAATTAGCTCACTCAGTAGTAAAAAATAAGTCCTCACTACGCTCTTTACTCTCTTTGCATCTTGCTTTGGTCATTTTCTTTGGTCTTTTTTTTTGTTTGTTTATTCATTTTTACCTTTAAAACTGATCTCCTGTGCAGCCAAAAAGAAGCTGAACTGTCTCGTGTAAAGGCTATGTAAATATTTCTGTGTAAGCCAAGGGCTGTAGATAATTTCTGTCTGGTCGTCATCATAATGTACACTTGAAATGGAATTTGGCATCGTAAAGACTAGCTTTCAATCTGTGATGGATTCAGCTGCTTTTGAGGCCGTTCTTTTGCTCTGTAATTGTTTTCATTTTTCTCTATCTTTTCCTCCTATTTTCTCCTGTTTCTTTTGCTTGACTGAATCTTCCATCCGCCCCTTTCCTGCCTTCCTTCCGAAATAACAGCAAATGTGCTGAGCTTGAAGAGGAGTTGAAAACTGTGACCAACAACCTGAAGTCGCTGGAGGCTCAGGCTGAGAAGGTAGGCTAGAGACTTACGTGAGAATGTGTCCCTTATGTTGTCATCTGCATTGGCTTGTGGGGTTTTCTTTATATGCGGATCACTTTGCAGCATTTCAGCAAGGCCATTGTCAGTAGAAGCATTTGGATTTACTACTCAATTCATATTTGGCTCTTATCAGAACCTAGGATTCCTTCTAGTTCCAAATAGGTCAGTATTATTTGACCACATGTCCTGTTAAGTAGTCTGACAGGATTAAATATTATTTATAGAATGTCCCTCAAAATGGCACTTGTGTGCTAACATTAAATTCTCCAAATGCCACTCCTCTTTAAAACTGTAGTACTAATTCCCACTGTATAGCACTGGAATATAACCCAAGGGAAGTTTGGCTCTTGTAATATACTGTGTATTACCACAGTCTGGTAAGTGGAATTAATTTAGTTATACCCATATTAATTTCAGTTGATCTATTAGAAGAGAGTCTTGAATGTGGTATTTTTTTGTATATTTAGAATACCTGGTCTAATATCAGTGATCCTCTTTCTAATTACAGTACTCGCAGAAAGAAGACAAATATGAAGAGGAGATTAAAGTACTGACTGACAAACTGAAGGAGGTAAAATTAGAGCTGTTCTTTACAACAGATCTTCCAATGCAACTTTGATTCTTTTAATATAAACACTACTTTGATGCTTTAAGGATGAACATGTCATTTTAGAGACAATTTAGTGTTAAATGTCTCCCTAAAAATCAGTATCCCCTTATTATTTGCCTCCTCTCCATTGTACTTTTTTCCTCATTTGAGTTGTTGCTGCTCTATTTGTAAGTACTACGTGTGTTTTTCCTAAAATAGTCTGTGTTTGTCTCAACTTCAGGCTGAGACCCGTGCTGAATTTGCTGAGAGGTCAGTAACCAAGCTGGAGAAGAGCATTGATGACCTAGAAGGTATGGGGTTTTGTTTGTCTCACTTGCTATAGAAATACAGATCTCTTATTCTCCTGTTTGGGGTTTTTTTTCAGTATGCAGTTCTAGTCACCTAACTTGTCCTGCTTATATAAATGGGTCTGCCTAAAGAGTAAAATATGCAAAATGTTTTCCGATTGAAATGTATTGATAACTTGAATGCTTCAGGTGAACAGTGTTTTGCTCTTGCCTGTTCCTTTTTCTCTCATGTTCTCAAGACTCCTTTCATTTTTTTGCTTTACACTCTTCTACTGGGAGGTATATAAATGTATAGGGTAAAAGACTAGATGATGATTAGTAGTATTATCTTACTAAAAAGCTGATGAAGAGCTGTGTTATGTTTGTAATAATTAGAAATGTAGCAGGCTAACCTCATTTATTACTGCAATAAGTATGGGTCAGGGTGGGCATTTTGTGACATAGACCAGTTGCAGTTTTTCGGTAAAGCTAATGGATTGTATACATAATCAGAAGGACAGCTTATTTAACTTCAGAGAGTTTGTTTTAAGGTTTTGATAAACCTTTCAGAACTGCAGTAGTATAGTAGAATGTGCTTTCTGCCTCTGGAGAAAATAATTCAGTAGTGCTTTGTAATTAAGTTATATGGAGTTTACTATTTAGATGTGTTACACTAAGTCTAGGATTTTAAGAAGCTTGATTGCTTGACATAGCAGGGTGACTTCTGCAGGAAGGGCATGAAATATCTAGGTAGCTGCTGAAAATTTATGATTACTGACTCAGGAAGGAAGCAGAGAAGAAAGATAAGGGTTTAGAAGGAACAAAAATTGCTGTAAGAAACTGAGTTTATGACATCACACAAACCAGAGTGTTTTTAAAAAAAAAAAAAAGGTAACATCCCCTCCTTGAACCCCATTTTTGGATCTTCTCTCCCTGGTTCCTGTGCGCCCTCCTAATGTGCATTAAAACAAAAGTCCAGGGCAGCAAAATGTGGATTTTGTTTCCTTTGTACACTCTTATTTCTCTATATCACAGGTTGCCTCACTGGCAGTGCAGTGAATGAACTTGTCGCATAAGACTTTTCACTGTTGATTATTTTTTTTTATTCTTCTCTAATCTTGTAATTTTTGTTTTGTTTTGTCTGTCGCAACACCTCTTTCTGTGTGCTCTTCCCCTTTCCTACGGCTTCTGGATGGTATCCCATGCCACCACCTTCACCTTCCATCCCATGATCACACTCCATTTCCTTGCACACCTCTGCCTTCCCTTTGGGGAATGTTAGATGAGCTATATGCTCAGAAACTGAAGTACAAAGCCATCAGCGAGGAGCTGGACCACGCTCTCAACGATATGACTTCCATGTAAATGTCTTCCCAGCTTGTGCCTGCATCTGCTTCCCTGCCCTCATTGATTGTGCGGTTCCGGCCTTGTGAAATTATACTCCCTCTGTAGCGGGAGACGCATTCCTTTAGTGAGACTAGGTGCACAAAATACCATGAACAATTTCTTTACCATGGCAGAGTGTGGGTGAGTGTTGGGCCTAGCCTGGTAAATACTCATGGTGATTTTGTAAGCTGCCGCTCGAGTTTACTCTTTCATTCTGTATCTGCAATCCTTGTGTCTTGTGGTTGCCCTTTGTTTGTAGCTCTGCATGTATCCTTTCAGTTCGCCTCTGTTCAAGTATTTTCTACCAGGCCCATCATATTCAGTTTACTAAAGAAAGTTGCCTCAGTACGTGTTGCATTCAGAGTGTGTTCTTCTGCTGTCAAAGTTTTTCTCTGCCAAAGTTCCTACAAAAGTTTCAAAGAAATTTAGATTTAGCTGTATTCTCTATTAATGACAGTGGAAAGTATTTATCTAAATTTCCTTGACTGCTCTGAAAATTTCAGCTGTTATCACTAAATTACAAGTGTGGAAATTGATTTAAGATACTTTGTTATTTAAACCCATAAAAGTGACAACTGAATTGTAGATTGCTTCTGCATATTTTGTGGAGGGTAGTAGTAACTTAATTTGCAGATACCGAAAATGTGGTAGTATCAACTGTAGTCATAAGGAGAAAAATAAAGAGTGAATTAGGCAGCAGGAAGGCAGAAGAGTAATCAGTTGTAAGGTGTGACTAGTCCATGCAGTGTTTGGTACAAACTGACTCTTCTTCCATCAACCTAAAACTCTGAACAGAGGTCAGCTGTGCTAAATCCACCTTCCCATGCTCATACCTTTCACTTGCATGAACCCTGTACAGTGACGTGGAAAAGAGGAAGAGTTGTGGCTCCCAAGTGCTTGTGAGGTGTGACGTTTAGTGCAGGCATTTCTTTCTGGAAGCTAGCATGCTTTCAGCAAGGCATGAGCTTTGCTCAGGGTTTGAAATGTATTTTGCATGCACCCATATTTTAAATGTTTTTGCTTTGCTTTTTTCCATCCCTGTATCTGTTCATTACTTCCCTCCCTCTCTCTTACTTTTTAGTAGGGGTCTAATGTCTGCTTTGTATGCTTTGATTTTTATTTTTTTTATTTTTTTTAAAAACACACCCTCCACCACCCCCCGCCCCCCAACATACGCTTTTGCTCAGTGGTTTATCAAGCAAATGGATTTCCTTTTTCCTCCTCTGTGTACAGAGATTACAGTATTTCTTCAATTTGGGATATTTCTAAATGGAAAACAGCCTTTAAAATGTACTCTACGGGAACATGAGGACACTACTGTAGCATTCCAGTCCCAGCATGGTGTGGTGTTTCTCTAGTAGTCGTCGTGGCATGCTGGGCTCTGTTGTGCTGTTGCTGCTTTTTTGGAAGTCTTTACTGCACCTTTTTTATTTCCTACCTTATCTCACTTTTTCTTTTCATGCAGATAATTTTCTTTGCTTCACTTCTCCAAAGACATCTTCATCAGGTTGGATAAAACATCTTTCCAAGCTTTGGATGTTTCATGGGTTCATTGTCCTGTCTTCTAGCTTAGTTGACTCTCTTCCTCTAGCACCTGTCTCAGAACATGCTCTGTTTGTGCTCTGCTGTACAGAAACTCTACATCTCTCAATGTAAAATAAACATCCCAGCTGTATCCCTTTTGCTATTCCCTTGCCTTTTATTTATTTGAATAATTATTTCAATTATTAATAAAAATTGTTTTTTTTTGCCATTAGGGTTTTAAATTTTTTTGGTGTTTCCACTTTTTTTCTGCAAACACTTTTGCCTGAATGTTGACAATGCAAAGCCAGTGATAGTAGTCTATGGGGTGAGAATACTACTCTTGGTATTTTGATGTCAAAACTGACCGGTTACTATCTTAGTCTTTCTCAAAATTTGATGCAGATAAAATGACAAATAGATGTAATGGGAATTTTTTCAGTTGTTACTGTTAGGCCAAAATCTACAAGCACACTATTTCCTTGGGGTCACTCGGTCGTGGGAGCACGGCTGAGAGAGCGGTTAAGTGCCTGACACCAGATTTTTCACTTTAAAGTCTGAAATTTAAAGTCTGAAATTTTCTTCTAGCTTGATGCTGAAGACTTCCTGTCATGATATGAATGTGTGTGTTTGTTAACTTAAATATTTGAGACAGATTTAAAGGGGCAATATAAAAAACTTTAAATTCTTTTTTTCACCCAAAAATAGTCCTAGTTAGCAAAGATGTTGCTTGCTAACTTTTTTTTTCTTCAATATACTTCTCA